TATATTAGAATCATCCTACACGGAATTCATAGATTATATTATTATTATGAATTATCATAATTAGCTTAACCTAACAAGCTAGAAAAAGTTGTATAATATTTTTTAATGCGATAGTTATTTATCAAGAATCTATAAATTAAAATTGCTTAAAATTTTATGCGTAACTTCGTGTCGTATTATTATTGGAGAATTACTAATTATTTTATCAATCAGTATGTATTATTTTGCGTAATTTTCGTATCTATATAGGGAATATCAATATATAATTTATTTTATTTGAGAATGACATGAAATGATAAGTAAATTTCTTCGATTATGTAATTACAATTATTATTTTTGGTTGATGTTGATTTTAAATTCGGATTTTTGTGATGCACAATTTAAGTTTCGTTTTCTTTTGCTTCGGTTCTTTCGCTCAATTGGTTTCTGTAATAGTTTCGACTTTCCAGACTTAAATGTCAGTTTATATGGACGCTGCTGCAAACGAGTCTTATTTTTATGTTATCTCACTCTACTCTGTCAAATTTGTAACGTTCTACTGTCTTTTTTGCAATTGGTTTTTACAGTATTATCGTTTACTATGAATCAGACAAAATGACAGCTTTAACGTAACTTTAGCGAGGACAAAAATTCTATTAACTTTTATACACATTCTGTGTAAAAGCTAGCCACTACCACTATGAAGCGATAACTACAATAGAGGCCGTGGGCAAGTAAAATATAAGCGATTAATCATAATATTATTATAATATTTTGGAAATCTGAGAAACTAGGTTTTTATGAAATATATACACAGATACTTATTTATACATAACATGCGAACGAAGTTATGATGAAATCAATGATAAATGTTAAAGATTTTATAATTAAAAATATGTATATCTTTTTGTTTTCATTGATATAGGTATAGACAGCTAATTTCGAACTGATAGTAACTTAAATGTAAAAACTAGGATCGAGCCTGGACAACTGTTGAAACGTAATGTTAACTTCGCTAACGAACGTAATGTTAACTTCGTTAAATGTATCGTTAACTTCGTTAAATGTATCAGGCATGAACTATGAAAAGTTATGTTTCCTTTAAAGTAATTAAAAAATTCCGTTTGTTTTTGTTATGTCCATGGATAAATCTTGATTTTCACGCCCTTAGTACATTTTCTTTATAAATTGTAACTTTTTGATTTTAATAGATATTTTATTGTTTACTTTTAATTATATTAGTGCCTCAGTTAGCAGGTGAAGTCTCAAATCTATCGTGAATCAGTATGCCGCCGCGGCCCGTGCATGCGTCTCTTCTTCATTCACCTAATCTCTCCGCTACTGAGTTTTTTTTATTAATTATAGCTACTCTTGTGAGTTACTATGTATGTTATGTAAATAAACTTTATATGAAAAAAAAATGCTAATCTTTGTGTTCTCTACTTAGAAAATACTTCCAAACGCTTGTAATGGCAGACTTGTGAAATGAATCCACAGCAATAATAGACAATCGTTACTAGAGTTAAAAGAGACAGAGCTTTTATATTCAGATTAAAAATGTATGTATTCAACGAGAACATTAGTTAAAATACGTTATTTATTATTAAATTTTATATAAAAATTGAAAATAAATCTCTATGCGAGATGTCTGTATATAAATTGTTGTTTAATTTACAGTTAATTTTTTTTCTCCATTTTATTTTGTTCCTCTTGTGAAATTAAGTAGTTTAATACTCGTAAATGTTTTCCATTCCCAACTGTTATTTGAAATAGTGATACCCACGCATGCTTTATTCCAGTATCAATATTATGAGTATTTGAGATTGGACTGGAAGTCACAATCAAGCCCATTGTCGCTCCGCGTGTGGAGCTCCGCTTATTCTAGGGTTAATAATGGAGAGTGCCTACTTAGTTTTACTATTTTATAATAAACTTAAAATGGTTATTTAGGTTCTTGTCTCAAAAGAATATTGTCAGTATACGTGTCTTGTTCAACCGTCGAATATGCTCCGGTGAAATCGGTAATCTCTTAGATCATAAATAAAAATGACGTAAGTAGTATGTAGTAAATAATCACGTTTATTTAAATATAATAAAAATCGTAAAATAAATACCTTGTGGGTAAAAATAAAATAACGCCATACGGGTCATGACTCGCGATTCCCGAGGCTATGAGCCGCCAGTCGTTTTAGTTATTAGTCCTATAAGTCTTAAGCTTCCTAGGGTGAAAAGACTTCGACTCGAATTAGTTTTGTTTTAGTCTTGTGACTCAAGACTTGAGGGTTAAAAGACTAGACTAGTCGCGAGGCGTTAAAAATTAGTCGATGTTTGTTAAAAGGCCTTAAAAGACTGGGTGTCTGTCATCACTAGCATTTGCAAAAATAGGCGCTTCTTTTTTACAGATTTATATTTACAAAGTAAAGCCTAGGGCACCTATATTATACTTTGCATGTCACAGTCATAACTTTTTTTGTTAATCTAAATACATGGGGCGACCTACATGGCTCAACTAACACTGGCGCAGAGTCGAAGTGTCGCGTCGCGAGCTGTTTTTTAACTACACCGCCTGGCGACGCGCGACGACACTTGATGACGCCTCAAGGCATCCAAGTGACGTGCGAAGCCGCTCGAATGCTACCAAGCGTCGACGCTCGATTCCATATTTGCAAAACACAAATTTGTACCTCAATAATGGGAAAATAGAGATAAATATGCTATAGGCGAAAAAAATTAATCTTAATCACAAAGCTACAGTAATTCAGTGGAATTGTTGCAGTGTTAAAAAAACAAGAAACATGAATTAATTACTCTAATTAATAGATATGAACCTTTTATTGTATGTCTCCAAGAGACATGGTTGATCCAGGCAAATATTATCAACATTCCTGGCTTCAATTGTTTAAGGTCTGACAGACCTGATGGATTTGGCGGTGTCGCCTTATTCATCAAAGATTGTTTTACAGTTAGCACTCTTCCTCTCCCTTATATAAATAATGATATCTCTGCTCTAGCTGCAATGGTAAATAATATTTGTTACATTTCTATATACTTTGCTTGACACAATAATATATTTAAAGATCTTAATCAACTGTTTAACTGCCTACCAAAACCATTTGTATGTTTAGGAGATTTTAACTCTCACCATATGACTTGGGGCCTTTGGGGACTCTTCTACTTCAAATTACTATGGGGAACAATTATTAGAATTATAAGATAGCCATAATTTATGCATTTTAAATACTTGTATTGTATAGTACTTCTATGACCGATAACAATTTTATTAACTATATTTTAATTGCCAATGCTACAAAAAATCTGCTCAATAAGAAAAAATTTGGAGGATGGCAAAGATTTTGCACTTCATTAGATCCCAATGTAAATTCCTCCATTGTTTGGCAGAATATCAGAAGATTTAGATCTGCTTTTCATTCCACTCAAAAACGTACCTAGTCTTTCTGTTATTCTTGCAGAACCGATCATGGACCGCTTGGCCCCTCCCTCAGTTTCAGAACAGATCATCCCCTCACCACTTCCATTTTTGCCATCAACAATAACAAAGTTATAAACCTTAACTCTTCCCTCTTAACTCTTCGCCAGGAGCGAAGGAAGAGTTAAGGTTTAAAGGGCGTTCCGTCAACTGTTAAAGATTCCGCGCCAGGTGAAGATGGGATTCCGTATTCTTTTCTTTCTAATTCAAATAGTGCTTGTCTAGAATACTATATTTCTTTAATTCATACAGTAACGTTCACAGGCGAAGTTCCTCAGTCTTGGCGACCACAGTCCTTAATTCTTTTATTGAAACCAAATAAACAAGCTTCAGATCCGTCATCATACAGACCAATAGCTTTAGCTTTTGTTCTAGCTACAATATGTGAACATTTAGTTAAAAATCGCCTGAAACGGTTCTTAGAACACAATTGTTTATTAACTAACGGCCAAGTCGGGTTTAGAAAAGGCAAAAGTACTTTTGACAGTTTGTCAACCATTACCACAGACATGAGATTGGCTTTCTTTATAAACGACTCCTTAATAGCTGCATTTCTTGACATCACCACGGCATAATGATAACGTAAATATTAAAATTCTTAAAAGTAAACTAGAGCAGCTAAATGTTGCAATCCTTTTAATAAATTTTATTATTTGTAATAATATGTTATCAAAGAGATTTCTTCACTATAACGTTCTAAATTTAGGACAAAACGAAACTTTAAATAGAACAGTTCGGAAAGGTTTACCTCAAGGCTTGTCCGCTAAATGGTTAAACCTTTCGAAAATCGATTGGCCCCCAGTTTTGTACAACATTTATACTTTTGATTTAGAATGCTCTATTAAACAATGTAACGTCCTTCAGTACGCGGACGATTTACTGTTATATACATTTGGACATTTTGTTGAAATTGGCTAGATAGAAACGAGTTAGATTTATCAGTAACCAAAAGTAATGTCATATTTTCTAGAAAACGTACTCCACCATTAGTAAATATATGTTATGGTGATACGCCTCTCCCACTGAAAGACCATACTAAATTCCTGGAGGTAATTCTGGACTCGTAAACTTACAGGCATATGGGATGCCTGTAAGTGAATATGTCACGAAGAGATGTGAACAGCTCTTAAATAT